TGATTTATCATCACGGGTTTATTACGAATCAACTTAACGGCCTGCTCCCAGTTGGCTTGTTAGCTCAATTGGTAGAGCGCTGCACTAGTATCGCAGAGGTCAGTGGCTCGAATCCCGTACAGGCCTGATTTTTTTCAGGTCTGATTTTCGCTATTGCATAAATAGCGCTCTCTACTGCGAGGATCGTGCATCATAAGTATGTACGAAGTAACATAAAATTAACATAATCAGTTTTAAAAACCCAAGACTACCTTGCAATTCATTAAAATTCTGATTCTGATTGGCTAAGAGGGGGGGTGCAAGTCTGTTTTGATCAATCACACCATGAAATATTGGGCTATGCCACCGTTACTGCAGATTAGTTGCTACAAATAGGCAGAGAGCTGGAAATGAATGTGCCTCTGAAACTTACTTGTACAGATCACAAAGACTATGTAAACATTTTGTTTCCCGTGCAAGATTTTGTCCTCTCCCTATGTAAAACAAACAAGAAAAGACTAATGACCTCCACGATTCATTTCCTGCTTTCTAAACAAGCAATGAACCAGCTGCAGACAGAGTTCAGAAAAATAAATGCATTGTTTGAGAAGTACAGCTAAGCCTCCCCTAAGTAATTCTCATGACATATTTCCATTACGCTAGGGTTAGCTAGGCTCAAGATTGTAACCAATACTGGCACCAATGGAACCAACTTTTTTTTCACTGATGACCAATTCAGAGGTTCTGGTATTCTCACTTAGCAAATAGATTTTTATAGGTTTTGAATTAAAAGTTTAACATCCCAAGTTCAAAAGTACCCCCAGGCATATTGTCTTGATTCATATCCATCTTTAGAAAAAAGAAATAATTACAGACACAAGGTCTCTTGTCATCAAAGATCTCAACCTTTTAACACACATTCTGCATATGTGATCACTGTGTCTCCTTTTTAAGGTGGCCACAGAATTTCAAAGAGTTATTTCATACATTATACATTGTTATAAAGCCAAATCTTCTGTACTTTCAGGAACATACAGATGCAACTTTTCAAATTGGCAACTAAAATTTTACAGCTGGGGACCATTACTCGTCAATTAAGTGTCAAAAGAGCACATAAACAATTTTTTTTTTTCCAATAGCAGGCCCTGGGTTAGAAAGGTTATTTTCAACTGTTAGAATAAGGTCGATACTTACAGTTATTAGTACAAATTGTCACCACTAGAAATGCTGAGGTCATTCTACCCTTCAAGTTTTTTGCTTGTAAATTACACCTCAACATGTCAAAAACACTCTTACTTGTCAAAACTCTTTGGCAAAAATCTGCAAGTATATCATTACAGCATGTAAACCATATATAGCATCTGAAGTCCACTTATAGCAATATTCAATTTGCTACAAATAGTCACAACAAGAAAAAAAATTGCTAAACAAATAAATCAATCAATTTAAAAGCAAATAAACAAGGTTTTCAGCAGTGTTGTATCCACACATTGACTTTTGTTTTACTTTCATGGTTCAGCGATCATAAAAACTGAAATGTGAAACCAGGAAGAACCACAAAGCACAACTGCTTGCTATCATGGCTTTATATTATTTATGCAAGCATACAGATAATCTGATTTTGAGATGCATGCATGACTGACAGGTCTTAGCACCAAAAATTAGATGCAATTGATTCATTTTAAAGGTAAAATATTTCTTTTTATTTGATATTTAATGATGAACTCACCATTTCCTTCTGCAGCCATGGCCAATGTATAAAGAGCTGACTGCACTTCACTGGGACTCATCAAAGTTTTACACAGACTGAGAACGTATTTCATCCCATTTGATGAACAAAAATAGTCTTGAGCTCTTTCTGAAGAGATGTAAAAATGTCACAAAGTTTTGATTTTAAAATATTGTCCTTCAGTAAACATACAAAACTTGTCCACTTTCCTCTGTCATTTTTTGATCTGTATGAAAATCAAAACCTACCCCAAAGCTTCATTTATAAATCCCTTATTAGATTGGGTATATCAACAAAGTTGAAATGGTAAATTGGCCACCGTAACGATTACAAAAGCTGACGTTTGGAGCGTTAGCCCTTCGTCGGAGCGAATAGAGAAATTGTGGGTTGTGTGTGCTTTTAAAGGCAGAAAATGGAGCTACGTTATTGGTGGGAACATGGCAACGAGAAAAACAAGAAAAAGCCCAAAACAGCCCCAAACAGTTTCTTTCGTAACTATCAGCCCTTATTAGATTGGACAAACAGCTATTCTTCAGTAACAAAACTTTGGCGAAAGGACTTCACGAGTCATTATAAGCAATGGTAATGTACATGTTTCGTTGACTACATTCCGGTAGTTGCGAATGAAATAAGATAACCTTGCTTACAAGCATAGGTTGGCTCGTTATATTTATTACATGCCCATGCTAGCTTGGATTTGTCAATCGTTTTTATATTTGAGTTTTGATTACAAATCGCTCGATCAAAAGAAAAAACCGCTATCTAATAGTAACGTACCAGTGATCTTTTCAATTTCTCGAAAAAATCTTCCCTGCCCGGTACAAAAATCATGAAATTTCTCGTGGTTTTCACTCATGTAAACAATAATGGTAACAAGTTTGACTTTGGCTCTTTCCAGACGTTGTCTCTTTTAAAAAAAAAGGGTATTCACCATTATGTTATTTTGGATATGGGTCCAGCAAATTACTCACGGACTCGTAACTGCATGTGTAAACTGTAAAGACTGTAAGGCCTTATGATTTGAAATTCTTTTCAGGAGCAGAGATCGGACTTACTATTCTGCGACAGAATTACAGCCAGTGCTCTCAGAGCCTGTTGCTGTTGAGACGAATCGTCCTTCTGGTATTCCAGGGACTCCACAAGGAGCTTCATATCTTCAATGTCCTTTTCTGGAGAGTTACTGCCACTGTCCATTGCTGCAACTAAATTGAAAAATATAATACGTCTTTGACTGGATTACTTTGCAGGCAGAAAAAAATCTGAATTTTCAAAATTGAAGTGACGACTTATCCAGCAATTAAAAGAGGAAAAACAGATTTAAGTAACAACTGAACGTAAAAACCTGTTAAATCTTACGCGCGTGAGGAAATCCAAGATGGATGCCCAACCCACTCAAAGCCAGTTTCCCGCGGTCTAACGTGAGTTTATGCAAATGAAGTAAAGATTGAGGAGAGGGTGGGTCGAAAAGTGAGAAAAGGTAAACGTTATTATTGTTCGTATTGGGATTTAGAAAATGGAATCGAGTCGGAGTGACCAAGGGTTGTTTTGGGGTAAGGGGTAGGGGCAGGGAAATAAGCCCAAATTGTAATGGCAGTCCAGCTTAATTAAGCGATATCTAGCCTTTGTTGAGTTTTTCTTGCACTTTTAATTGAGCTAAATCTTGTTTTCTTTTCTGCTCAAAAACGAACAAGATGTAAGCGTCAGCGCTTAATGAGTTCTTTTCTGAATTGTTTCACGTCAAAAGAGGCCCTTGACTAAACCAGTTCTGCGTATATCTTGACCACGTCCAAACACCGTCACCTACTCAACAAACAATAACTGTTCAGGAGGAATATTTTAACTCTGTTACCAAAATGATCAAGGTGCCACTTTTCAAGTATTATCCGAGTTTCTGAGCAGACCTGTCTGATCGAAATATTCAAAAAGCGAAGAGCAGTGACGTAAGATATCAGAAACCGTGCCAGTCTACTCAAAAGGGCTCTTGTAAGAAGCATTTCGCGTATACCAAGCCTATAAAGCCCCTCGTGCATTTGAGATGCTCACAACTTTTTATCAGTATCACTCACATTTCACAGAATATCTCTGTAAAGAAGCTTATATCAGGTGACAGGCATGCAGTTTACTAAAACTGGTTTGAAGTTAAAAGTTAATTAACATTATCGTATAGGAACGGCAATCGGCGACAGTGTAATAAGAATGTGTGAATTGACAGGTAATTTCCAGTTTGCTGAAGGAAAGAAATTTAGATAAATTGAGTTCAATATAAGAAGGTCCAGTAAAACATTCCAAGAGCCAGCAGAAAAAAAAAAGACTGAATGTTAAATTTAGAAAGTAAAACATGCCCTTGAGGCATCGCTAAAAATACGACGCAATGTTCTTTATGTCACTTTAAACCATCCGGCTTCAAAATTTCTCCCTCCTGATAAGCCGAACATGCACTTATCGGGTTTAAATGTAACTAAATGATGAATCCTTCTCGCAGAGTCCTTGCTTCCAGATCTTCCCGAGGATTCAAATAAAACGTATGACATCTCTTCAGAGCAAAGTACACCTTAGATTGATGTTTCCACAATTTTGTCTACAGACAAGTTTCTCTGCTGTTCTTGCTATTGAACGTAATTACATCCTAGGCTCCGTGTAGAGCTCTCAGCAATGACAGCTTGTTGCTGACTGGTTTCGATTTTCATTGACGTCATCAACTGCACTTTTGAAACTGTACTTGACCTCCTTTCCTTCAATTTGGATTGGTTTCATCTGAACAGGCGCGAAAAGCGCTTGGAAGCTTTCCAAACGGCATCATGATTTGAAGATCTAAAAGATAACAGTACATATGAAAAACTGTACGAGGAGCAAGATGGTGTATCTTGAAATGCAAATTGAACACTTAGAATGCATGTTGCCGTGAGTCAGTTCCGAAACAGAGCACATATGACATCAAAATTTGGTAAGAACAAAAAGAGTGCCACACGAAGCACAGCAAAACGTTGACGTCTTCTGTAATCTGTTACTGAAAAGACCTACGGCAACATAGCATACGTTTGTTTTACATCATAAAGCGACAAAATTCCTAACATAGGTTGACGTGACGTCATCTATGCGTCTGTCCTCCAATAGATCGTAAGCAAGAACTAATCAAAAAGCGTCTGCAATTTTGCTTATCGTGTAATCGTAAATGATCATCAGTTTGATCTTCTTTTTTTCAAGGCTTTCAGGAATATTAACTTAATCATTAACTCTTAGGCTTACCCAATCAAGTCGTTGTGAAAATCGTGAAGTTGTTGAGGAGTGGCTATCAAACTGCCCGGCACAATTTGGGTTTGAATAGACTGAAGCGCAACTTCCACCCACTTGGACGTCTCCTGCGCAATACACGAGTGGGAAGAGACATCACAGGGAAAAAATATACAAACAACAAAGCTCAACATGCAGAAAATACCAGTACTCTCAAATTACATTTTGATTAGGAAACTGTGGACGACTGTTTGAGTTTATCCCGAATTCCACAGCATAAAGCCACCAAGAGTATTTTCACTGCCTCTTTTTTGTATGCTGCCACATCGCAGGTTTTCCTGGCTGTAAGTATTTGAGTAGTTCATCTGGTCTCCCAGAAAATTCGCTAGCGAACATGTTAGCGGGTGGTCATGGGTGTGTT